TCTATCCTCTTTAACAGAAATTGACGGACAGTCTTAATACCAAGATATTGGTCCCATAGTTGTCTTCTTTACAATTAAAAGGACCAGCTACATTTATTTCTCCAATCATATCCCAGGTTTTTATTAGATAGAGCCCTGATTGAAAGGATGACTGAGGCCTGTCACACTGCTCACCAGGTCCCAAAGTGGCCAACACCTGAAGGGCAGAGTTGTTAACTTCCAAAGATCCTCAGAGCATGTGGCTCTTCAGCGTAGTACTATACCTAAAATTATTCTATCCTAGAGAGACAGTGGTGTGTTGTCTTTAGACATGTGAAATGCCAAGGCTATTAAACAATAAACATGCAGTGGTGAAAACACTTACCCAACTCATGCATATACAGAACACTCTAAGGGAAGATGAATGTGAAGGAGCAGGTGGAAGCCTGCATCTTTGCTGGTAAGAAGGACTTGATTGGGCTATGAGTTGTCCACTGAAATGAGGGAGTTGGCAGGTCAGAGAGCAGCAGAAAATAAAGCAGTAAGGCAGTGGTGCATCTTATCAGATGACCAAGGGGATGACTGCCCCTATGCAGGTGTGCCAGGCTGTTACTGCTGGATTGGGGTAGATGGCCTCTGTCATATTGTTTGACAGGTACAAAGAGGGACTACTTTATAAAAGAGTAAGAATAAAGATGAGACCACACAATCTGAGTCCCTCAGGGAAAATGAAAAGCAGGATCACAATCACAAAATGGGACGGATCCTGCACACTGATGGTCTGCACGAAGCCTGCAGCCAAATCACTCAAGCTGGTGCCCAGACTTAGAAAGTAAGATGTCCTTCTTTAGGAGTTGGCAGTGAGGACCACTACTGTCAGGCTCTAGACAGCAGTGATACTAACCATGACCGCTGGAATGTTGGACATCATGATCGGATCTGGCCACGTGATTCCTGGGAATGATGCCCAGGCTGCCGTGCAGAACCAGATGTGGAGCCAAGGTTCTCGATACCATCATTGCCAAGAAGTCCACGAAGAAAATGAAATGTATTGAGGTTTGGTTCCCGACCTGAGTAGGTACGAAGGGGTGAGTTCATCGTGTGGAAAGCATACCCCCGAGTGGGGCAAACAGAAGTCCTTGACCTAAAGGCTAGGCCCACATTTTTAAAATTAGGATGTAATTTGCATTAAATGCATAGATCTAAGAATACAATTCACTGAGTTTTGACAATTACATACACATATGTCCATCAGTAAATGTATAGAACGCCTCCATTATCCTAAATAGTCCGTCATACCCCTTTCCAGTCAGTCACCACATCCTCACCTCTACCCCATCCCTTTACAGAGGCAATCACTGTTCTGGTTTCTATTACATAGATTCATTTTGCCTGTTCTTGAATTTCGTTAAGTTGGAATAACTTTTTTTTCTGGCTTCTGCTCAATGTATTTTTCAGATTTATCCATGCTGTTGTATAACAGTATTTCATTCCCTTTTATTACTCAGTAGTATTTCATCATTTGAATATACCACAATTTGTTTATCCATTCTCCTGAGTTTTTTTGTGCATTTTATTTCTCTTGGATAAATACCTGAAGTAAAATTGTTAAAGTGGTAAAATAAACATGTTTGATTTTCTTTAAAAAGCTCCCTCTCTTCTAAAATAGTTGTACCATTTTGCACTCCACTAGTGATGTTTGAGAACTCGTTACTCCATATCCTCACCATTTGATTTTATCATTCTGTTGGTATTGTTTCAGCCACTATAGTGTTATATTTTCTTTTGACCCAAAACAATTGCAGTACTGCAAACAGACTAAGTTTAATGACACCTGCAATAATTTCTCGACCTTGACTTCATGGTCTTTGCAAATGGAAGGTTTCACTTTTGCATTGCCTATCACAGCATTATGTCCAACAGAATCATCTATTGGTGTCACTGGATATTTGATAGTATCAAGGAGTTACTGCAATGTAGAGGAGTGTTAGTAAGATTGTGTTTTTCTTTTTGAGGAATTCAGAGATACATGCTGAAATATTTATATTTTATTATCTGAGATTTGCTTCAAAATAATTGGGAAGGAGAAAGTGTTTGACATTTTACCCAACTTGTAAGCTAAAAAGTTAGACTGCCACACTTTTATAGATGCTGGCAAAAAAACATGAGACCCCTGGGTCAGAAACAAAGGACCTTATTACAGCAAAGCAAAATAAAATCTTTGTGTTCATTTGTGTCAGCTTCCTATTTCCCCCAAATCCAAGAGATGATGCTAAGGGTGTGTCACAAAGTGGGTTGCATTACAGAACAGGAACACTTAAGATTTCCACTTTTATAAGAAGCAAGCCAACTTTTTCCAGGGGAGACACTACCTCATTCCTCAAAGTTGCTCATGGTACAAACAGCCCTGAGGAATGGCCCAGGTAAAAAGCAGAGAATTGTATTCTTGGCATACCCAACAAGAACATGCAGGAGCACTTGGGCTCTACAGCAGATTGCCTCTCACCATTCACTCTTCAGCCTGAGATCTTGGCCAAAGTTGAATTTTTACAGAAGTATGCTCTTCTCTCAGCCACTCTGATTAATGTAACCAACAGAGGTTAGGCTCTCAAAGAACACTTAATTAGGGGTATTGTCAGTTAAGACTTAAAAGCAGTGCATGAAGGTGCATGAAGCCAACCTGTGGAACTGACTCAGTTCTCTCCAGGGTCCCAGACTTGGTGAACTCTTAAGTCCAATTGGGGAGCAGTCTAAATGGGCCAACTTTGGGCAGGAATCACAACCGTGGTGAATTCCAAAGCCAGGCTATTATTCATTTTGATATGTTGCAGGTGAGTTTAAACTATCTGCTAATCTTTGTTGCCATTATTGTAATTAGAGGGGTAGTAGATGGGCCAAAAAAGCAACACCTGTCCCCAGCTAAGAACCATCTCATGACCCATTTTCCCCCACATACAAACTTACAACCCAAAAGGGCAGTCACTTTGGGACTTAACTGCTAAACTTGATTTGGATTATCACACTGGTTAAGTCACATGGACAGTATCACTCAAAAGCTGGAACTGCAGTTGCCATTATTAGCATTACCCAAGGCCACTAGACATCAGAGGCATGTGACCAGCCACTCTTGTCATCTGTGTTTGTACATTCGGGAGCTGCTACATATGGCTAAACATCCTGCAATGCAGAGGGCAGTTCTTCACAACTGTCTGGCCTAAAATAGTAGTACCAGGCTGAGAAACTGATCTAGGAACAAATTGTGCGTTGTTCCACTTTCCTCCACTGTCACAAAATTGGTACCTGTAATTTCATCTGTACTTTCACCTAGACCTTTACTCATTATCACCCAGGAGGCAGCCAAGATACTTTTCTGGGATTTGCTGTGTTCTGAGACCAAACTACCTCACTCAGCACTCAGGTGGGTAACACAGGAGGTGAGGGTAAGAGTCAAAACTTTTAAATGCTCGCCACCACCAGGTTATATGTGGATGGTAGAGAGCCGTGAAATATTGGCTCATTTCCGGATGGCCTTTGTGACAAGTGCCCTGATGTAAATTCCAAGTGTTCTGGAAAACTAGTAGGACACGTTAATCTCAAGGGCTACAAGATGTTTTTGCAGTTGATGAGACTGGAAAACATGGTAACCTAAAAATGTTATCAACAGTACCAAGGCACCACATCACCCAGAGGTGGGCAAAGGTCCAGTGGTCAGTAGTTATTCTGTGTAATATGGCCTTGTTTACCTCAAGACAAATGGGCCAACTTTGGGCAGGAATCCCAAGTCTGGCATGCATAGACAGACTTATTTCATGTGCACATCCCACGGTGGTAGACAAGTTGCCATGTGCAAGAGGCAATCGGTGCAGGGGTGATCCACACCTTGTTTTTTCTAAGTTGTATCACGGTACTACATGTGTGACCCAGCCACAATTTACATCCCTAAAAAGAGGTATCTTTAATCTGTGTGGATAGTCTTTCAAGTGGTGGACCAGGTAGCTAGAGCTTGGGCAACAGCAAAGGGAATGACCATTTTTTATCAAGAAGTACTGGCCAGATGTAAAGAGCACAGCTGTGAGTTTAGCCCCACTAAGCAGTGACCACATTCACTTCAGTTTTGCACAGCTGCTGAGGTTGGAGCCACAGCAGCACACTGGATACCATAACCTTTTAATTTAGCCAAGCTGCCGGGGATTGAGACCCAGGTATTTGGGGGAATCTCTAAAGTCAGAGCCCCACTGAACCAGCAGCTACGCATAAGGTGATGGGGTAGGAGACAGTTTTCCACGTTTGTCACCAGTTTCATGCAAGAATCAAAAATACTCCGGAATATTTTACTTAACAGAAAGGCTTGCTTACTGAGGCATACATACTGTTCACTATAGTCCAAGCATCCAAGGAGTTGGGCCTCCCGTTAGGTGGTGGCAGATCAAAGAGTTTTTTCTTGACTGCTGGAGGGATTAAGCATTATTAAGTCTACCCAACACAGTCCCAAGAAGCTCTACTTGGTGAGCAGGCTCCTGAATTTTACACACCCGTTGGTGGAGTTTTGATAAAATCACACAAGGCCTATGCCAGGGCACAATGGACTATTTTACAGGTACTGGCAAGACAGCATTTGGATTTTTAAAAAAACAGACTAAAAGCCAATGGGCTCTTCCTTTTCTGTCTAGCACAGTTCTTGCAGCATGGTCCTTGGCCATCAGCATCCTGGGAAAACATTAAAATGCAAATTCCCAGGACTCAACCCAGAAGTACTGAATTAAAACTCTGGGGGCAAGACTAAGCAATGTTTTAATAAGCCTACGGATGGCTTAAGAACCATGTAATTAAAAGACTTCCTTTTGTTAATCAGCTTTAACACTCCCAGATCACTACCCTTTCTCAGCTACTCAGTAACTAAGAGCAATAGGTAAAATGGATGGTATGAATAAAATCATCACAGATTCAAAAAGTTCACATTACTATCAATTCAAAATATGATTTCAGCAAGGTGTCAGATTTTTAAAGAATGATTAGAAATGAAACATCACAAATAAGATTTTTTATTTGATACCTAAAGTCTGAATTTTAAACAGATTCTTGGACTGGTGGCTCATATCCATCAGCTCGTTCAACTTTAGCACCTGTCTCATCCCCAGTAGCTTTTCCAGAACTACTGCCTTCACCATGAAGCTCCATGAGTTTTCCCACTGAAATAAAAAAGAAATTGTTAATTTTATCTTGAAATAATGGTCTCCAAAATTAGTATGTAGATATGAACCTCCCCCCCCTCCCCAAAAGACATCATCTGGCCTCAAAACAAAACCCCAAATCATCTATTTGGCCACACAATTTTTTCTTTCAGGAGTCCTGTGATTTTTCACTTACATTCAAACTTGGGCTTCTTCAGCATTTTTACTTTTCTAACAAAGACATCATGCAGCGGATAAATAGACTGGCAAGCCTTTTCTATGTCTTTTCCTTGTGCACATCCCACGGTGGTAGACAAGTTGCCATGTGCAAGAGGCAATCGGTGCAGGGGTGATCCACACCTTGTTTTTTCTAAGTTGTATCACGGTACTACATGTGTGACCCAGCCACAATTTACATCCCTAAAAAGAGGTATCTTTAATCTGTGTGGATAGTCTTTCAAGTGGTGGACCAGGTAGCTAGAGCTTGGGCAACAGCAAAGGGAATGACCATTTTTTATCAAGAAGTACTGGCCAGATGTAAAGAGCACAGCTGTGAGTTTAGCCCCACTAAGCAGTGACCACATTCACTTCAGTTTTGCACAGCTGCTGAGGTTGGAGCCACAGCAGCACACTGGATACCATAACCTTTTAATTTAGCCAAGCTGCCGGGGATTGAGACCCAGGTATTTGGGGGAATCTCTAAAGTCAGAGCCCCACTGAACCAGCAGCTACGCATAAGGTGATGGGGTAGGAGACAGTTTTCCACGTTTGTCACCAGTTTCATGCAAGAATCAAAAATACTCCGGAATATTTTACTTAACAGAAAGGCTTGCTTACTGAGGCATACATACTGTTCACTATAGTCCAAGCATCCAAGGAGTTGGGCCTCCCGTTAGGTGGTGGCAGATCAAAGAGTTTTTTCTTGACTGCTGGAGGGATTAAGCATTATTAAGTCTACCCAACACAGTCCCAAGAAGCTCTACTTGGTGAGCAGGCTCCTGAATTTTACACACCCGTTGGTGGAGTTTTGATAAAATCACACAAGGCCTATGCCAGGGCACAATGGACTATTTTACAGGTACTGGCAAGACAGCATTTGGATTTTTAAAAAAACAGACTAAAAGCCAATGGGCTCTTCCTTTTCTGTCTAGCACAGTTCTTGCAGCATGGTCCTTGGCCATCAGCATCCTGGGAAAACATTAAAATGCAAATTCCCAGGACTCAACCCAGAAGTACTGAATTAAAACTCTGGGGGCAAGACTAAGCAATGTTTTAATAAGCCTACGGATGGCTTAAGAACCATGTAATTAAAAGACTTCCTTTTGTTAATCAGCTTTAACACTCCCAGATCACTACCCTTTCTCAGCTACTCAGTAACTAAGAGCAATAGGTAAAATGGATGGTATGAATAAAATCATCACAGATTCAAAAAGTTCACATTACTATCAATTCAAAATATGATTTCAGCAAGGTGTCAGATTTTTAAAGAATGATTAGAAATGAAACATCACAAATAAGATTTTTTATTTGATACCTAAAGTCTGAATTTTAAACAGATTCTTGGACTGGTGGCTCATATCCATCAGCTCGTTCAACTTTAGCACCTGTCTCATCCCCAGTAGCTTTTCCAGAACTACTGCCTTCACCATGAAGCTCCATGAGTTTTCCCACTGAAATAAAAAAGAAATTGTTAATTTTATCTTGAAATAATGGTCTCCAAAATTAGTATGTAGATATGAACCTCCCCCCCCTCCCCAAAAGACATCATCTGGCCTCAAAACAAAACCCCAAATCATCTATTTGGCCACACAATTTTTTCTTTCAGGAGTCCTGTGATTTTTCACTTACATTCAAACTTGGGCTTCTTCAGCATTTTTACTTTTCTAACAAAGACATCATGCAGCGGATAAATAGACTGGCAAGCCTTTTCTATGTCTTTTCCAATGCTGTCTGGAATCCTGCAAACCAGTAATGACAGAAAAGAAGCCTACACATATAATACCCATTGCATTTAATTCACATTAAATCCTCACGTAAGACAGTCTATTACTGCCCATGTACAGGCCAAGGTTAAATAAGTTAGTTATTAGGTAGCAAAGTTAGTATTTGAGCCTTCTGCCCTTTCCATTACACCTGCTTTGCCAACTGCATGGGAACATCAGAAAAATGATAACAGTGTTATCACTGGACATCATCTGGGACCGAAACATTTTGTCATCACTTATTCCCATACAAGGATTATAGACAGTTGTCTATTCAGTGTATTTTCTAATTAAGGCAAAAGCATTTCCTGTGTTTCAGCCTCATTCTATCTTACCAAGAGATAGCTTCATCAAAAAAAGGAAAAAAATCACCATTACTGAGCACTTCACATGCTGTTCAAGGAATGTAGGTTTCACAGGATTTAAACACAAGTCAGACTCCCCACTGTCTCACATGCTTTCCCTCATCTGAGGGATTATAAGAGATTCAGGATTGTGTTGTCTGAGGGAAAGAAATACTTACAATTTATTGACCACTTCTTTCAAGTCATTTGTCTGCACTTCTCGGGTCATGATTTCCATCATCTTCTTCCGGATTTGGCGGACCTGTTGATGCTGAGCATAAGAGGTCTTCCGGATCTGATTATTGCGTTTTTTAGTAAAACCAACACAGAACAGACGAAGCAAATAACCATCGGTAGTCTTGACATCAACATGAGCTTCAATCATGGTCTAAATGAAAGAAAGAAAGAAAAAGATAGTCTCAAACATACAGGGATTTATTATCAGTTTTTAGCCCTCATATTCCAATATGAAAATACTGGAAGATCACATACTCATTATACATTATAAAGTATAATATAAATCACATACCTGATTTACAGAATTGTTTTTCTTGAAACAAACCTACCAATGGTTACCCAAATCCTTACTATCCTTAGTTAAATACCAAGTCCTTTCAAATGTCTTCCCTTTTCTTCACTGGGTAACTTAACCACAGAAACTTACCCATTACTATCCTAACAGCACCCATCCCCACACATTGCACATACACATACTTTTCCTTACAGCCTGCCCCTCCCCAAATTAACTGTCAACTCTACAAGAGGAAAATAGGTCAGAACACTCTACAATATGGACATCTTACACCCACTCCATCTTTTAAAAGAATGTGTTCTGAATTGGCAAAATAATGTCAACACAAAATGCATATATTTTTAAATGTCCTTTATGTTCCAAACTAAAGCCATGCTGGGGATTAGTCTATATCACAGCTAAAAATATAAAACATCCATAGTCATGTTATTGCCTAAATTTAAACAGCGAAAACTATCTTTAGTAACAAAAAATGAACTGCCTCCTTAGCATTTAAATTTTATGACTTAAAAAATACAATAGTTACAGCAAAGGGATCTTAAAATATTTCCAAAAAATACTACCATAAAAACCTTAGAGGAATGTCAGATACAAACATTAACTGTATAATCAGTATCTAACATTTGGACCAAAACAGTTTTTCACCAATCATTCCTATAATCTAAATCATCTCAAAACTGGATGGCTAGCCACATACATCTGAACCAATGCAGCTATTTCCTGTATTAATACTCATGTTCACTAAATGTTTTTTATGTCAAGCTGACCTAAGCATATTTATGTGGATCTTTTATTTCATTTTTATAACTATGATTTTATACTCTGACCTATGTTTTACAGATGAAGAAACCAAGGCTTAACAGGGTTTAAGTTTCCTACCAAAGAGAAATGGAGCCAAAATTTCAACCTTGTGTCAGAGGCTCTGTATCTCCTATTATGTTCTATTGCAGAGGTAATCAAGACTGGCCCAATCCACTCTTTCACTATAAATATAAAATTCACGAGATTTTGAGGCCCAAAGATATTCTCAAGACAGGCAAAACTGAAAACCTGAACCCAGATGTTCCTCAACCAGTCACTAATCCACGCAGCAAAAAAACTTTGATAACCCAATATTAAATCTTGAATTGAAACAGATATGAAGATCATGGCTTGCTCACTGCTGTTGCTCAAGTTTAAAACTGACAATCCTGGAGCCAGTGCTCAATAATGGCAAGGAAACATCAAGGATTTAAATGAAATCTAAACCTCAACTCAGATGTGCTCCCTGCTGTCATCACACCATGACATCCCATCATGCAAATCCACAGCACCCTGCGCTCTCACGAACAGAATTCTGTTCTCACCTGCCATTTTTTGACCATGGAGCACATTTTGTCACGGGTAAGATCCATGCCATGGAAATTAGTCAAGCAGTTTTTACCCTGAACATCCTCAGTAATCAGCTTGAATTTTCTAAATGCAACTTCATCATTCTGCAGATCAGCAAGACTCACTTCAAAAACACGACCCTTGAGGCCATCGGATGCAATTTCTATAAAATAAGAAAAAAATAGTCTTAACAGCAGGAACCACATAAGCAAAATCAAGCCACCAAAGACAATGTTCATGCATAAGGTTGAGCTTAGAATGTTCATTAACGTAAATTGTAAAGACCTTGACTTCTGTTAACCAAGTCAAGTTAGACACCAGTGACCTATGACAGTGCTCATTAGCAGCTCAAAACTACCCGTGGATGTTTACTAAGTAATTCTAAAAGCACCTCCTTGCTCCTATGAAGTGTACCAAAAACAAGCATCTCGATGGCCAAAACTGCAACCATGAGCTGACATTTCCTTAAAGTCTCCCACTGCAGGAGATGTAGACGGAGATACGTAAGAGTCAGTTTAGGAAAAATACAAACCAAGAATAAGATACTCACTGGTTCCTTGAGTTCTTGTGACTAGTGTTTTCCCAATATTTCTTATATTGAACATGGCTGGTGCTTTCACATCATACCAATCTTTCTTAGAAAATGGATCAACCCTGTATTTTTAAAAAGCGTAAGTTTTATTGCTGATCACGTAGTTCGTTTTTTTTTTAACTTTCCTCAGTCTAATGACTTTAAAGAGCTAACTGGCATGTAGACAAAAACTATTCCTCTCACGGTGAGGCGGGGAGCGCACATTAATCTAGCTGTTACCACGATGTTTCACTGTAGAGACCGGATACTTTGATCAAAGCTATGCGCCCCACACACTCCCCGCCCCTGTAGAAAGGTTCTTCTACAGGCAGCATGCCTCTAGTAACACGCCCGTCTTTTGGACTTTACAGATACGCGAAAACAATACCGGTAACCCCGGCTAAAGGTCCCACGCGTGCCTATTAGCAGCTCCCGGGCTCAATCCGACCCAAGTGCAGGAGGAACATGGGGTCCTGGGTGGCTAAGAACAGTGTCTGTCTCAACTCCAGCTCCTGGAGTGACATTCATTACCCATGGGATTTACGAGGCCCGCGAGCCCACGATACGGAACACGTCAGCCCCAAGTGGCGACGGAATCCAGCCCAGGACCGCGCACGAGGCCCAGGGAACCAGGGCATAGGCAGTAGGCTCGCCGCGACGCAGCACCCAGATCCGCCAAGCCGCGGTTCGGAGGGTACACCCCCGGCAGGGCCCGCGCAATCCAACCGACATCCTCGCCATCCGGCCCGCGCCGAGATCCAGAACCCGCCCGCCGGCTCCAGCAGCACCCTCAAAAAGCGGGAGACCACGACAGTCACCACTTACACTTTCTTCTTGGCTCCTTTTTTGCCGCCTTTCGTAAGGCGCTTGTTCTTACCAACCGCCATGGTGCTGCTCAGAGAACCAGAAAGGCGGAAGTACAACTCGCGCGAGAACTTAGGAGTACGGGGTAGGCGCGCCCGCTACGTGACCTGGCCTTCGTTCTTCCGGCCTCAAGAAAGTCGCGGCAACAGAAAGAGGCTGCAGCCACGAGGAGCGCCCTCGCGTGTGAGGAGGCCGTGCAGCACGCCGCTGGTGGCTCCTGTGGCCTGGAAGTAGGTTTCCTTGGGAGGAGGCGCCCGCTCAACATTGCTCCAACCTGAATTTACCACCTCACTTTCAAACCTGTCTCTTCTCGAGAGCTTGGAATCTGGACTCCGAAAAGCAGATACGGGTTCAAATACTAGTTATTCAGCAGTATTTAGCCTGTGACCTTCAGTTTTCTCCTTTTTAAAATGGAGACAGTAATAAAATCTACCTCAGGAGTGTTAGGATTAAATCAGTATAGTTTTGGAGATGGTAGTAGTGTTCTGCCTGATACGGCTGCTGGGCAGTGCGGTATGTTCGCCTTGTGAACGAACATCCATCAAGCTGTACACTGACTTGTATACTTTCCTGTTTTCACATTCATATAAAGTTTAAAGAAAGAAACAGGTAGAATTAACTCTGCTGATTGTTTATCCGAGGGACTATGAATCCAGTGTTTCCAGATATTTTGATTTTTCAAGAAAAGCTGGACTTTTTTGCATGTGAAATTTCTAATTTTTTCAATTTTTACAGCTAATTCAAAAAACAATTTTTTTTTTATAGGGGTTTGACAAAATACTTCCTGGCTGGATGTGGCCCCTTAGCGTCAAGTTGCAGCCCCTGGGAAGCTGGCCCATGCAGATTTGGAACTCAGCCAGTGGTATGTAGAGTTCACTTTTCTAACTTCCCTTCTGGCAAAAAAAAAAAAAAAAAAAAACACAGCAAAACTTTGACCAAGCTAGAAACTGCCTGCCACTCACAGCCTTTAAGTTCTATAATCCCTTCCAGTCCTTCTAGCCTCCATCCCCTACCTCCTACTAGCCGCACCTTCTAAAACAATCGTCCTAAATCTCTGAAACTATCCTGAAATATTCAAATAATTCAATTAATTCAGTTGCTTATTGGATAAACTCAGAGTCCTTATTTCATAACAATATGAAGATACTTAACACTACTGAACTGTGTGCGTAAAAATGGTTAAGATGGTCAATTTTATGTTACATATTTTTTACCACAATCTAAAAAGAAAAAAATCCAAGTCCTTAGCCAAGCCTACAAAAACTCTTTTATCTGACCCTACTCACTTAATCCCTTTTCATCCTTACCACATCTTACTCTTTACCAGGTATCCCAACTCCAGCCATCTAGAACTATTTAAAACTCCCTGGACTGAGCAATTTTGTCTTCATTCCTTTTCTCTTATCAGCAGGCAAATACCTGTGCATTTCCAAGAGAGCTCATCATCATTGCTTCTTTGAGTAAGGGATTGATTCCCCAGACAAACACGTTTTCCCTCAGACCTGCTCCCAGAAGACCTAGCACTCTTTACCTGCTTAGTAACTATTCATTAAAACGTGTCTCTTTCTCACTGTAAGCAGAAGGACACACAGTGCACCATCTCTTAGTACATAATATTTGTTGGGTTAACAAATAAGACAACATCACTGTTGTTCCAGAATTTGAACTTTGTGGATCAATCAAGATTTTCAAAATAATTTTGGGAACTAATAGGACTATAATTTTTAAATTTCATCAAGCTATGAAAACAAAAACAAAACAACTGCCATTTACTATCACCATCATTTTCTTTTAAAATTACATTTTGACCCCCCAAATAAAAAGAAAGAACATACCCTCTAAAAAGTCAGCCTTTTTATATAAATAAACCAACTTTATGAAAAACAACATAAATCTTATTTTTCGTGTTTCATTGCAGACTGACAAAAACTAGTGACCAATGGAAATCAATGAGTCCTGCTAAATTTAATGCTGAGTCTAATAAACATCTTTATTATTCTATACTTAAAGTAACCTAGACTAAATTTACTTCATAAGTGGCAGTTGGCTAGCTTAAAACTTATCCATTGGAAAAATGTTATAGACCCCCAGGCTACATACTTCAGAATTAAAAACCTAACTCGCCTTCTTCGTGATCTAATTTCTCTTTCTGCCTGTGTGTAAGAGCCTCAGGGGAGGCATTAATGAAGTCAGTTGCATCTGGTTTATTCTACAAACACTAGCACCTAAGGGATTTGTCAGAGGTACATATTCCAATCCTCAACTTGCTTCGTAATAATAGCATCTTTTAAAAAAATTATATCGCCTGACACTGTTATTATAGTAAATAGTTCAATCACCAGTTTTAGTTTAATTACACTGAATAACAGCAAATGGGCAGGGGGCAGCACAGGGTGTGAAACCAGATTTCTGGGTCTCAACCATATGAGAATTTCATAATTCAGATAGAATAAAACCCAACAGAAAAATGTCAGAATACATCAAACCTAGTAAGGTGTCAATGCTGTTAATTTCCTTTTCATCTCTATTAAATCCATCCAATCATTTTTTAGTTTTGATTACTGTATTTTTATTTCTAAAATATCCATTTAACTTTGCAGTTTATGTCCCTTTGTAGTTTGTTATTCTTTGCAGGCATCTTCAATATAGATTTAAGCCCAGAGAACATATTTGTTTTACAGTCACTGGATGACAGTTGTAGTATCTGAAGTCTCTGCCAGTCTTTCTATTGTCTATTTTTGCACTCTTCCTCCATAATGCAGTCTGGTTGCCTTGAGTTCCTAGTCATCTTTGAGTACTAGCATTGTGTTTGAAGACTTGTTTGTGGGAATAATTTGATGCGTAGAATGAAGGTAAGTTCCTCCACAAAGGATGTACATGTCCTTCTGTGCAGGCATTTAGCTAAGCTTTTGGGTTTAGGCTTCCTGGGCAACCCAGGAGTTTCAAATGCAGCTATAATTCCTTACAGAAGCTGTCACCCTCTGGATTCAGCTTTTATCCTGAGGGTGTAGCCATAGAAGGTCACAGTTTATTGAGGGGAGAATCTTCTGTTAGACTTCACACCTGTGGACCCTGGGATTGGATTTAAGTCGTTGTCATCCTTAGTGGCTATCCAAATAAATTTTTGGATTCTGGAACCAAGGAATACCTTTAGTATACCAAAAACAGCTTGACATTTGTTTATCTTCGTTATTCCTTTTTTTTTTTTCTCCCTCTCATGTTTTGAACCAGTAATTGTTTACTAAAAATAGCACTTTTTAAAGTTGAAGTATAGCTGATATACAATATTATATTGGTTTCAAGTATACAACAAAATGGTTCAACAGTTACCCACATTATTAAATCCTTATGCAACTAGTGCAGTTGCTATCTGTCAACATAGAAAGATGTTACAGAACCATTGAGTATATTCCTCCATGCTGTATACCATCCCCATGACTAACTTATAATATGATTGAGATTTGTGTGCCCCTTTACTCTCCTCACCAGCCCACCAACCCATCCCTCCACACCATGTAACCACCAGTCACCTCTCAGTTTCTCTGAGTCTATTACTATTTTAATCATTTTGTTTTACTTTGTTTTGTAGATAACACAAAAAAGTGAAGTCGTACAGTATTGATCATTCAACACCTGACTTCTTTCACTTGGCATAATACCACCTAGGTCCGCCCATGTTGTGGCAAATGACAGGATTTCTTTCTCTTTTGTGGCTGAATATATTCCATTGTGTATATGTACCACATTTTCTTTATCCATTCATCTATTGATAGATACTTTGGTTGCTTCCATATTATGGCTATTGTAAATAATGCAGTAAACATAGGGGTACATACATCTTTTTGAATCAGGGACTTTGTTTTCTTTAGGTAAATTCCTAGACATGAATTACTGGGTCATATGGTATTTCTACATTTAGTTTTTTGAAGAACCTCCATACTGCTCTCCATGGTGGCTGCATCAATTTACATTCCCACCAAGAGTGCAGGAGGGCTCCCTTTTCTCCACATCATCATCAACACTTGTCATTTCTAGTCTTTGAATAGTGGCCATTCTGACTGGTGTGAGGTGATATCTCATTGTGGTTTTGATTTGCATTTCCCTGGTGATTAGTGATGTAGAGCATCTTTTCATATGCCTGTTGACCATCTGTATTTCTTCTTTACAAAAATGTATGTTCAGGTCCTCTGCCCATTTTTGAATTGGGTTATTTGTTTTTGGGGGGTTGATTTGTGTGAGTTCTTTATATATTTTAAATGGCAACCCCTAACCGGATAAATATATTCTCCCATACTGTAGATAGCCTCTTTTATTCTTGAGGGTGTCCTTTGCTATACAGAAACTTTTTAGTTTGATGTAGCCCCACTTGTTCATTTTTTATTTTGTTTCCCTTGCCTGAGGAGATGTGTCCAGGAAAAAATTGCTTATGACAACATGCAAAAAATTTTTGCCTATGTTTTCTTCTAAGAGTTTTATGGTTTTAGGTCTTATATTTAGGTCTTTAATCCATTTTGAGTTTACTTTTATGTATGGAGTTAGACAATAATCCAGTTTCATTCTCATACATGCAGCTTTCCAGTTTTGCCAACACCATTTGTTGAAGAGGTTTTCTTTTCCCCATTGTATATCTTTGGCTCCTATATCATATAGTAATTGGCCATATATGTGTGGGTTTATATCTGGGATCTCTATTCTGTTCCTTGGGTCTATGGGTCTGTTCTTGTGCCAGTACCAAATTGTTTTGATTACTGTGGCTTTGTAGTAGAGCTTGAAGTTAGGGGGCATAATCCCCCCCAGCTTTATTGTTCCTTCTCAGGATTGGTTTGGCTATTTGGGGTCTTTTATAGTTCCATATGAACTTTGGAACTATTCTAGTTCACTGAAGAATGCTGTTGGTATTTTGATAGGGATTGCATTGAATCTGTAGATTGCTTTAGGCAGGATGGCTAAATTTGGACAATATTAATTCTTCCTGTCCATGAGCATGGGATACATTTCCATTTATTGGTGTCTTCTTTAATTTCTCTCATGAGTGTCTTATAGTTTTCTGAGTGTAAGTCTTTCACCATCTTGGTAAGGTTTATTCTTAGGCCTTTAATTCTTTTTGATGTAATTG